GAACTACATACGAGTTCAGTAAACTCCTATTTGATTCTTAGAGCACAGAATAATCTGTAGCTCCTGTGAGGAATCAACTACCTGTTTTGTGATTTTTTTCCCCTTGTATATACCTAATTTTCTGCATGTTTGTGATCTGCTTTTTAATGTCACATTTTTCCTTTCTAGACGAAAACTACAATAATGCCACAGCCCTTGTGATTACCTTCCCTGTGAATAACTACTATAACGATACAGAGAAGCTCCAGAGGGCCCAGGCCTGGGAAAAAGAGTGAGTCTCAGTCTGAACAGATGTCCATGTTTTGTGGGAAGCTAGATCTAAGTTATGATGTTTTTCACTTGATACTAGTGGTACACATGCTAAGAAGAAACCTGTAAATGAATTTAAACAGCTAGATATTTCTGCACAAGAATGCAGAAGTATGCAAAAATGCTCCTTGCATTGTTTTCTATCAGCAAAAGCACACTGAACGTTAACACAGAAGATGAGTACAGTAGATTCTATGCAGTCATTAAAGACAGCGGTTCAAGATGTATTAAATAAAAGCTGCACTCAGCATATTTACATAACTCTACATGTATGTCACCCATGCTTAGAAAAAATATCAAGTGAATGGCCTGAGAAATTTGTCTGTAAAGAATGGGAAGAGGGAACTTAGGAAGACAGGGGACTTTTACTCTTTACATTATACCTTCAAATAATTTTTTTTTTTTTTTTTGAGACAGAGTCTCACTTTGTCACCCTCAGTAGTGCCATGGCATCATGGCTCACAGCAACCTCAAAATCTTGGGCTCAAGCAATCTTCTTGCCTTAGCCTCCCGAGTAGCTGAGATACAGGTGCCTGCCACTGTGCCCTACTATTTTTAGAGATGGAATTTTGCTCTACCTCGGGCTGGTCTCAAACTCCTGAGCTCAGGCAATCCACCTGCCTTGGCCTCCCAAGTGCTGGGATTATAGGCATGAGCTACCGCACCCGACCTTTAGTACATTTTTTAAAAACTTTTGCTGGGTATAGTGGTAATCTATATGGTATATCCGTAATCCCAGCACTTTGGGAGGCAGATTACTTGAGGCCTAGGAGTTGGAGACCAGCCCGAGCAACATGAGACCCTCATCTCTACAAAAGATGTAAAAAAATTAGCTGAATGTGGTGGTGCTCACCTATTGTCTCAGCTACAGGGGCTAAGGCAGGAGGATCTCTTGAGCCAGGATTTGGAGGTTGCAGTGACCAATGGTGGTGCCACCACACTCTAGCTTGGGAGACAGAGCAATACTTTATTTCAAATAAATAAGTAAGAATCAGTTTTACTGAAATATGGTTCATTTCTCATACATTTCACCCATTTGAAGTATACATTTCAGTGGCTTTCATACACATATATGCGCAACCAACAGCACAGTCAATTTTAGGATATTTTTGTTACTTCGTAATGAAACCCTGTACCCTTTGCTAATACTCCATCTTCTCATCCTCCCACAGCCCACAGCAACCACTAAATTACTTTCTGTCTTTGGAGATTTTCTGATTCTAACTTTTATATGCACTGGATCACATGTGGCCTTTATATGCATGGATCACATGTGACCTTTTATATGCATGGAATCACATGCAGCCTTTTATATGCATAAGATCACATGTGGCTTTCATATGCACGGGATCACACGTGGCCTTTATATGCATTGATCGCATATGGCCTTTTATATGCACAGAATCACATACAGCCTTTATATGCACAGAATCACATGGTCTTTATATGCACAGAATCTCATGTGGCCTTTATATGCACAGAATCACATGGTCTTTATATGCACGGGATCACATGTGGTCTTTATATGCATGGGATCACATGATCTTTATATGCACAGGATCACATGTGGCCTTTTATATGCATGGGATCACATGCGGCCTTTATATGCATGGATCACATGGTCTTTATATGCACAGGATCACATGTGGCCTTTATATGCATGGGATCACATGCAGCCTTTTATATGCATGGGATCACATGTGGCCTTTTATATGCACAGGATCACATGCGGCCTTTAATATGCACAGGATTACATGTGGCCTTTTATATGCATGGGATCACATGGTCTTTATATGCACAGGATCACATGCGGCCTTTCATATGCATGGATTACATGGGCCTTTATATGCACGGCATCACATGTGGCCTTTTATATGTATGGATCACATGGTCTTTATATGCACAGGATCACATGTGACCTTTATATGCACGGGATCACATGTGGTCTTTATATGCACAGGATCACATGTGGCCTTTTATATGCACAGATCACATGTGGTCTTTATATGCACAGGATCACATGTGGCCTTTTATATGCACGGATCACATACAACCTTTTATTGCATGGGATCATGGGGCGTTTTGCTTCTTTCACTTAGCCTTACCAAGGCTCCTCAGTATGGTGGCGGGTCAGTACTTCCCTTTTATAGTCCAATACTCCATTGACTGCATATGTCCTATTTTGTTTATCCATTCATTAGGTGATGCACATTTGAGTCATTTTCATCTTTTGGCTCTTATGAGTAATGCTGCTATAAACATTTGTACATGAGTTTTTGTGTGGATATAAATTTTCGTTTCTCATGGGTTCTAGCTAGGAGTAGAATTGCTAAGTCTTACAGTGATGCTGCCTTTCACTGAAGAATGGCCAGACTACTTTCCAAAGTGGCCATAGCTTATGGTTGAAAAAAGTAAAGGTGTAAAAATAAAGGATGATAGCACTTTCCATAACCACCAACAACAACGTGTGAAGGTTTCAGTTTCTCCACATCCTTGACAACATTGTTATCTGCCTTCATGATTCTAGCCATCCTCATGGGTAGGAAGTAGGATCTCCTTGTAGTTTTGATTTGCATTTTCCTGATGACATTTTTGAGCATTTTCATATACTTTTTGTCCATTAGTGTGTCTTCCTTGGAGAAGTATGTAATTATAGCCTATGCACAATTTTTAACTGGGTTATTTATGTTTTATATATTCTAGACACAAGTCACTTACCTTATTTTACCTTTTCTTTTATTTTGTTGCTCATACTTTTGGTGTCATATCTAAGAAACCATTCCCTAATCCAAGGATGTGGAAATTTGGGCCTGAGATTTCTTCTGAGAGTTTTAGCTCTTATGTTTAGGTCTTTGATCCCCTTGAGTTAATTTTTGTGTGGTATGAGGTAAGGGTCCAGCTTCATTTCTTTCGCATGTAACTCTCCATTTGTCCCAGATCATTTGTCAAAGAGATTATTAAGGATCTTGTCATCCTCATTGAATATTAGTTGACCACAGACACATGGTGTGTTTCTAGACTCCGTTCTGTTCCCTTGATCTCTATATGTCTTTTTTTTTTTTTGAGACAGAGCCTCAAGCTATCCCCCTGGGTAGAGTGCC